GCCTCGGGGTTCAAACCCCAGGATCACTCCCTTGGTGACATCACCTCGTCTCTGGGTTATAAATACCACACCTCTGTGCTGACACCCACTCCTGATTCTATCTCACCCTGACCTCCCTCCTGACCTCCTTATCTCTACTTGCCTATCTACATTATTGCTCGACTGGTGATAAGCACCCTGAATCCTCACATCCACTCAGTGCCTCTCTAACCAACACCCACTTCCACAAGCCAGCTTCAAGCACGCCTGGTCTTTCCCATTTCAGGGAATGACAACTCTATCATTCTGGTTGTACAGGCCACAAGCCGGCAATAGTCGTGACTTTTTTTTGAAGAATTTCAAAACTTGGGTTTTAAAATTTTTAAACAGTAAAAAGAAAAAAATTAAGGGTAGCAGAAATAAAACATGCCTAAGAGACAAATTCAAGGGGTACTTCAAAATGCTCACTGGAAAATGTAAATTTCTCTTTTAAGAGAAATTATCTCGTTGCAAAATTTTTTCAGATCCTTGTGTAGTTTTTTTTTTTTTTTTTTTTTCGTAACAGGCATGAACTTTAAGACCCTAACATTCGGTATGCGGCCACGGGTTTGAGGGCAGTAAAGAAGGTGTCCATGATTTCCCCTCTGTAGGCACGGGATTTCTTGGCTGGAAGTCTGCCCACAGGCACTCACTCCTGGTGCTTGCATTGTCTAGCTGGAGTGGCCCCTAAAGGCTGGGGAGGATTTGAGATGGAAGTTTTTTCTTGGTGCTGAAGACAGGTGGGACAGCTGAAAAAGATCTGCTAAAGAAACCCTTAGAGGACCAGATGGCCACACTGCCTGGGCGGACAGGCATCACTCCTGCCCCCAGAGAGGAGTAAGATACCTATGCAGACACGCACTTGGTTCTTCTTGAAGATTCGATCCCTAGTGGACCAAAACAAAAACTCTGCACGCCTTAGCAGCTGCTGGATGGCTCAGACCATCGGGCTCCTGGTTCATCATCCACAGACCCTTGGTGCACTGGCTGTGTGGCGCTCAGGGCATGCCTCCGCACTGTCAACCACACGCAAGGGCGAGCAGGTCAACAAATGGCTGGGAGAGAAATGCTGATCCCAGTGCAACAGCCTCAGGGATTCAGGTGAAGATACAGAATGGGAACAAACGAAAACGGAAACAGAACAGCTTTAGGTAGCTGTCTCGAGGAGAGCTGGGGCCCAAGGAACCTTGAATACTCCAAACCAGGATTCCAGAGAACAAGAGGAATTTAGACACTGAAGAGTCTACTTCTTTTGGGGAAATACTGACTTTAAATGTTTGATAGTGACTTAGTGAGTTGCATTCTTGAAGTTCATATGACTGTTCTCAGAGAAGTGTAATACAGTGAAATAAATAGGGCTTCTCATGTCAAATCTAAACTCAAATAAAAGGGAGAAGTAAAACATGAATACGAAGATTATCTGGCAAATTATCAAGCTTGTAGTCAATCAGCTGAACAGCTGGTTTGTATGGCAACTGAAAGCAATACCAGAGAATTCTGTATCTTTGGTTTGGGTGGATTTTATATAACATGGTATGACGTAACAAACTTTTAGTAAGTGGGTCCAACAGAAAACTAAAATGGAACTAAGTGACTAACACAAAGAATACTAAGTTTTTCTTCTGCCCAATACATAAACCAAATTCTATGTGCTTTATAGATGAAATGGGTCCAACAGCTGGAAAAAAAAAAAAGCAAAACAAAAACCCAAAAAAGTCTAATAGTCACTAAAGGCCTATTACACCCTAACTTATGCCATGCAACTTTCAAAAATACTATGTCATTAAAATGTACTAATAATTTGTTTCTTGATGCGTATATTTCAGGTTAACTGCAAAATCACTATCCCAAACACTTAGGTTCTTCAATTATGCTGTGTTAACAGAGGATCTTCTTTTGTAATAAAATAGTTTGGAAGCCACATTTGAGCATTCAAAGTGGTAAAGCCATTGAAGCGTTCCACCTTTTTTCTTGTTCTGTCCAAATGACACACAGAAAAAGGACTCACTGTGCTACCGCAGGGCTCAGTTCACGCTAAGCGTGATTCCTATTGCAGGAGCATCACAGAACAGCCACCATCACATTGTTCAAAGACAGAACCCCTGAGCTTAGTACCTCGGCTAAGTACTGCCTTGGTGACCCAGGGGACACGGTCATTTGCAGCTGAAGAGGCGTTCTTGTTTCCTTCTTCTATAAACCCCAAGTAGCTCTAGGCCACTCCACACTATCCTAGCCTACCTGCCACCCAGGGAAGACCACCATGCTACAGAGTTACTCGGTCCTGGAGGCTACCATGGATGATCCGAACACACAGCTGAGGCTTCACATTAGTGGGGATGCCCTGAGGAGGAGCTGTGGTGGCCCAAGGTTCACAACAGGCTAGTTCGGCTAGAAAAGGGCCTGCGACATTTCCTATTACTCCAAACAAAAATGAAACGCAACTACCTGCAACTTTTCATGCCTTCCCACGCATGAGGAAAGGTGAGGAAATACATATTTGAAGATGGGTTTCTGCAAGACAATTAAAAAGATGAGTTCTTTGATCAGGTTCCAACATTTCCAAACAGGCAACAGGCGGCTGAGACAGGGCACAGCTTTGACAGTCTTATCACAGAGCTGATACCCTCAAGGGCAAGCTGCTAAGCAACAGCAGTAACTCCTGCCATCCCGCAGGCAGGCCGACATCTGGCTAATGGATGGAGTCACTCCCAAATTCCCTGATGCATTACATACTGTGCGTAAAGAGCAGTAAGCCAAGGCGATATCCAAAATTAGCACTTCTTCACTGAGCCCAGAAGAGAAAACCATCTTAACCATTGTAATTTAGATCTTGAATCTTCCTCACCCCTGGGAAATTCATCTAAAGGGTCTAAATGCAACTGAGTTTTTAAGAGTAGGGGTCCATAGGTCCAGCAAAGAATTCCATGCCCTGGCCCTCCAGCTTTTTGTTCTGCGTTACAATAAACGCAGTGTATACGTAAACCAGGCTTTCCTTGAGAGACCATGTGTTCCACAAAGGACAGTAAAGGAGAGAACGGGTGAGGGTCAAGCTGAACCACCAGGTACTGAAGGCTACTTTGCACTGTCTGTTAACGGTGAGCAAGTTGGGAACATCAGATTCCAACCTCTGCAAGCTGCTCACCCGACACATTGGTTCACTAGGCAGAAATGTTATCCGAGTGGTCACAGTACTAAACATTTTTCCTCTTTCATACACTCACCTTCTTGCCCCTAGGCTCAATTTACTCAAAAGCAACTGCTCTGAATTTGTGCACAAATTCAGTTTTAGGGGATTAAGCCACCATGAGAAGCAGGACACCATTCAAAACGGAAGGGTGTCCACAGCTCTGCATGAGACAAGAGTCGCGCCCGACAAGGCCAAGAGCAGAGAGTTGAAAACGGCGTGTCTCAGACTCCACCCTCAGCAATGGATCTGGTTCTGTGTGCTTGGCTCAAAGCTTGGGCAGTGAGCTTCAGCTTGCTGTTTCGCCGGAGCAGGGCAAGACAACAGTGAGGCTGTCAGACACATTTGCCAGGACGACAGCTGGGGAGGAAAGGGCCAGGATGCTTGTCTTTCTTATCTGGGGATGCTGAGGGAACTGCTGGAAAAGACCAGAGAAGGAAACATTTCTGCCACAGAGAACCCGACACGCCTACCACTGCCGGCTGAGAGTGTGCGGGAACTCCAGATAATAAAACGCAAAAGTGAAGGGTTCTTTGTTTCACTTTCCCAGGAATGCCAGGACAGGGCAGAGGTGGCCAGGACAAGGGCTGCCCAGCTCACCGCTGTGCCCAAGGCTCAGCCAGCCAGCTAGGTCCTGGGGCCAGAATGCCCAAGTGAGTTTAACATAGTCTCAAGAGTTGAAGACTGGGACCCCGGGCTGGGGCTGCACCAGTGCACACGCCCAACAAACAGCACCCCAAAGTCAGAGCAACCTCGACAGCTGCGCTCTATTCACTCACTGCATCCCCTTGTCACCCCGAAACACAGGCATTCTTCCTTCTCATTGTACACACAGGGGAACTGAGGCACGGGATCTTAACTCACGTTACAGAAAAATGACACAGTGAGGGTACTCCGGTCTTAACATGGCACTTCTCTCCAACAAAGCTGACTCATCCCCTATCCTTCTCTGAGCATGAAGTGTAGACCAGGCTACTTACTGTGCATGCTCCCCTCAAGGCAGGCTCACAAGAACCCTATAGAGACACTGAGGACGAGAAAAGGTCAGGACCTACCAAGGTCCCCTCCAAGTAAGGGGCTATGCTAGGCTGTGAGCTGAGCCCGACTCCTAGCCAGGACGTCACACTGTAGCCTGCACCCATCCCAACAATCAGGGCGGGAATGCGATGGGTCACACCTCCCTCTGTACGGGGGAGAGGGAAGCTCAGTGCCAGCAGGGGGCAGAGGCTAGGCTTGTGTGCTGTACATGGACCTCACAGTGTGAGTACATCCCAATGTTTACTTACTTATTCATTTGCAAGACAGATAGGAGGAGCTTTTATCCACTGGCTCACCCTCACCCCTCCAGATTGGTGCAACAGCTGCGCTCTTGGGCCAAAGCAGGGAGCTGGGAACTCAATTCAGGCCCCCCAGGTGGGTGGCAGTGCCCCTTCGGCCTGTGCCGCACACATGCCTCCCGCAGTCTGCACGTCAGCAAGTTGGAGTGAGCAGCAGAGCCAAGGATTAAGCCTAGGCATCTAGACTACCCGGCCAAATGCCTGCCCCTCGCTGTATTCTTGATCGTGAGCAGGATACTTACCAGAGGACCAGGTGCCAGGAACTGAGCAGGCAGCTAACTGCTCTCCAGGTGACTCCAAACAGAAAGCAACCAAAGCTTCAAAACCTCTCCCAACTCAGCCAATCCCTCAAGGTCCCCACCCTTACTGCCTCAAAATGACAAGGAAGCACCCCGGAAAGCCTTAACCTCTTCCCTCCCTTTCTCTCACAGTCCCCAGTAAGTTAAACCATTGGCACTTACGCTTTGAATGCTGGGAGATAGGAGTATATAGAAATGCTGCTTAAGTTATAAATAAATGGCAGGTGTTTTCTGATATCTGTTGTTGCCCAGCTGCTAAAAAATGTGTTCAGTAATCCCTGGTCCCCACCTGGAAGGAAAAAAAATGAATCAGAGTTAACAAACTGCTAGGACTGTCGACTGTTTCCATAGGAATATCTACAATTTAAAAATAGGTACACAATCCACTTAAAAACAATACGTTCCTTAAAAACACTGTGGTGGGTAGTGATTGCTCTAATTTAATTCATTAATTTGACAAATATTTACTAAGAAGGTATTATGTGGCAGACAGCATACCAGGCACCATAGAGTCAAGAATGAACGAGACATGGGGTCATCTTCACCAGCAGAGCCTGGGGTTGGGGCGGGAGAGGTTGATACTGCAGACTGAGAACAAACGAACATCCCAAACAGCGATGAGGGCAGTGAAGAGGCATGGGGGGCTACAAATGCCTGCAGAAGGGGCTCAGAAAATCTTCCAAGAGGAAGCTGTGTCTAAGCCAACACCTGAGGGATGCCTGGGAGTCTGTGGCAAACACAGGCGGTGGAAAGGAGAGCAGAACAAAACCAACACACAGCCCAGTCCTGGGCTGGGAAGGAACACGAAGCTTTTAAGTAAGATGACCGGGACGTAGAGGGAATACTGGGTGAGTTTCAGAGCAGTCAGGAGGATCAGACCACACTAGCATTGGAAGTTACATACAGACTGTTCCCCCAAAAAGCCATAAAACAGAAAAAAGGTAAAAAGCAAAGGAAAACGAACTGGAACCGTGGAACTGTTTTCTAGGACCTCCTCCTGCTGGCTCATGGACAGAGGCCCCGAAGGCCACACTGCCTTTAGTTTGCTCTCCTGTGCAGGTGTCAGGCCACCATTACCGTAGCCCTGGTCAGCCACAAATACACAGTTAAGTGCTTGCTCAACACCTGGAGTTCCTGGACTACATGCCTCCTTCAGAGAAGCATGGCCATTCATTCAGAAGAAATAAAAACAATGAACATCTACATTTGATCTTGGCCAAAAGGCCGCGAAGAAATGAACAATAAACCTCTAAACAGCCAAGGGTCTGATCTAAGTCATGTACATAACCAAGCCACCTCATATCCATTCCATAGGAGTCCTTGTGCGTTCGACTGTGGCACTCTTAGAACCACAGTCCCTCGTGCAGAAGGGATAGCAGGCAGGGGAATCCTGCTGGCCCTTCAAGGGGCCGCACAGTGCCTGCCCACTTTGGTCAGCCTTGTCCTATGATCCAGATTCCTTTCTTAATGTATAGCATGTCCAGTTGGCTGTCACTGACACTTTTCTTTTTTTGGTTTCGATATAGGTTTTCTTATATCTGAAAGTTCATTTAACACAAGAAATACTGGGATTAGTGGTTTATGTTCAAAGCCCAAATGCACCTCGCTCATCCTCTGGTATCCTATTAATTTCTTACACCATTTTACCGATTCTTAAGGATCAACCATTCACTGGACAATGAATTGGGGCAATATCTTCTCTCTGACAGATCCCCAATCACTCAGAAGAAAATAATTTTCACCCTCTTATAAAGGACAATGAGCATGGCAACAGGATATGTTTCACTCTTATGAGGAAGTCAGGGACTGAGCAGTTTATATTCCACAAAATCTACACATTGAAATCCTAATCCCCCCAGCAGGATTAAGTGTGGCTGCTAAACTGCTGCCTGGGTTCACAGCATACCCCATGTCCCAAGGCCTGGCTCCCCTGCATCTGATCCAGCTCTCGGCTCATGCAACTCTAAAAGGCAACAGACAATGAAGTGCCCCTGACCCTGCTGCCCATGTGCAAGACCCGGATTGAGTTCTGGGTCCCTGGCTTTGGCTTGGTCCAACCTTGGCAGCTATTCGCATCTGAACACTAAGACACCGACAGCAGTTGAAACAGTCCTGTCTTCCTCACTTTTAAAGAAAATAAAAATTTGGAAATAAAATGATAAATCCTAACCATTAGGGCAATGGTAGGATGAGATAGTGCCTTTGGAGAGTGACTGACCCATGAGGGCACAGAGCTCGCGGGCAGCATTAGCGCTGTCATCCAAGGGGACCAAGAGAGGCATCCTGCCACTCCCATCAGGTGAGGTTATAACAAGGACAGGCGGGCATCTATGACGAGCACGCGAGTGTTCTCCGGGCACCGTGTATGCGGGCGCCTTTTTCCTGAATTTCCCAGACAGAGATACATTTGTTTAAGTGCTACCCAGTTTATGCTACAGTGGCAAACAGCCCAAAAGGATGGCGGAAAAAAAGATGACTTCAGCAACACTAAATAGTAAAGCCCAAACACTGTGCCACTCCCAAACCTTACTTGGGATTGTACAAAGCTGTACTAATGTGGGACAGAAGGTACCAAGGTGTGAAGTCTTAATTTCCTTTTATATGTAATCAGAGTAAGGGCTGAAGACATGTGCAAAGCCACCGCTTTATAATGGGACAAACCTGGAAACAGGTATGTGACCATGGCACATTCTCAGAACTGTGTGACAGAAAGGACAAACTATGCAGCCACACAGAAGCTGGGCTCAAGTTAAGGAACTATGCTTAGTGGGAAACTCCAACCCCATAAGGTCACACAGCGTGTGATTTCACTGATCGTACATCCTCCTTCAAGGGATTGAAGTGGAGGCAGAAGAGACGTGTGGCTGCCAGGGACTGGGCAGGGGGGAGAGAGGTAGCTGTGTGGTTGAAGGGCCCCCCAGGAGGCGCTCGGGGGGTCCCCTGTCACCCACAGGTCATAGAGGTGCAGCGAAAGACCGCAGTGACACCCGACTAAGCTGGGTGGTGTCCATCAGTGTCTACTTCCTAGCTGATACTCCTGCTATGCCACATGTCACCATGGTGGATGCTGAGGGAAGGGGACGTGGGTCTCCTCTGCTTATTAGATTAGCAGGTGAATTTGCAGTTCTTTCAAAAAAGTTTTTATGTCGAAGCATTAAGGTGGTTACAGTGCAAAATACACAGGAGGAGGTACTGTTGAAGATTCTAGATTGCACAAGAGCTAGGATTATAGCTCTTCTGCTCACCAGACAATTTTTAGCATGCAGAATTCCTTACACAGAGGTAACTTATGTATGGAATGAATGCAAGAACCTTGAAAGTATTGTGCAACAGCAGGAAAAGCTGATACAACCTAGATGTCCCAGCAGAGAGGAAGGGATGGTTCCCTGGTGTGCCAACCACTCAAGGCTGTGTCACCAGGCCACCAACACTAACATTTATGAAGACAACCATCCACGGGGTAACAGGGCAGGGGACAGCTGCCCATGCTATACCAATGAAGAAGACAAACAGGAAGGAACATGCACTTCAGAAGGAAATACATGACAGAAACTGAGTCGGGGGACTGGTATCAGACGTTCCTTCCCTACTTTTCCTTAGTATTATTATAATGTAGCAATATAATACAGTTAGGGCGAAAATCAGCATCATGCTGTTAGCTCTCTCAACATCACTATTTTCATTCTTTTCCGTCAAAAGAAAGGTATGTGCAAACTTTAAAGCATCTTAGTAATAACACTCATCTACCCAGCATCTGAACTGAGCCTGAACAGGACTAGCACTCATTCTCCGTGAGGGTCAACTGTCCCTTCCCGCCACAATGGACTGTCCTTGCTTTCCTTTATTTATCCACACGTAATTCCCATCTCCAAACAGATGATTCCTCTTGCATCACACTGTTTTTCTTGTTTTCCTACAGCACATTATAAGACATTTTAAATGAAGCAACTCTACTCAGAACAAGGGTTGGCTCATGCAACGCTGTGAAGAAATCAAATTCCATGGCATCCAAATACTAGTCACAAAACAGGGCATCCAAATCCGTGCCATGTAAGCCTAGGAAATGGGCAGCAGAGCTGCTGAGCCCAGAGAGCCCATGGCTGGCTGCCTCTGGCCACATAAGACTGTTTCCGTTCACCCTCAGGGACTCTGCAAGCCTTGCTGCCCATCAGCTGAGTGCCATGGGAGGGCAGGGAAGCACGAATAAAGCAAGAAACTAGCAAGAGGTGGCATCAAGGCACACTTGGTGACCCAACAGTACTTGCTATGCTGGCAAATTGTTAAACCTTGCCTGCAGATGGGACAACCCAAATCCCAATTCCTCAGTGACCACTGACTTCATTATGAGGTTCCAAAAGATCACCTTTGAGCTTCAAAGCTTGGGTTAAAGACTGAATTAAGTATCACTCAGGAGCCTATAGTTTAATTAATTTTAAAATGAAGCAGTCTCAAGATCCTAGTCATCTTTTCTGAAATGCAAAATTTTAAGGTCAGGTCAATGTTTTAATTTCTACAGCAAAATCCATGGGTGCTGTTCTGGGTGTCCCTTGTTGAGAGGTCTCTGGGGGTTGAAGTCAAGGCAGCATGCAAGCGAAGCACGCTGGAGTTAGAAGATACAGAAAGACGCCCTCGAAAGTGCCAAGTTCCCACCACAGAAACCCTAAGCCTTTCCTGCAGTATTTTCCTAGTCCCATTTCCAGGGGCAGCTTAATTTAATTTGCCAGGTTAAGACACTTTCAATCTCAGTCATCTCAGGACCAACAAACAGGATTATCGGGCAGCACAGGTGACACACACAGGCAGGAAACGGGACCGGGGCACAGGACACCTGCTTTGCAGACAAAAGCCAAGAGCTGATGGCGTATCCTGCCTGCACTGGGCTGCTCAGGTGCTAGGAAGAGCCTGCAGCTGTATGGCGTGTCCCGGTTCTTTGGAGCAGTATTGGAAGCTTGTTACCCATATCACAGCACTCACCACAAACTGGGACCGCTAGCTTCAGAACTAATTAGTTTTATGGCAATGGATTTTTGAGTGCTGTGTTTTAAAGCTGTGCGTTTGCTCAATGCCCGTGTGGTTTATGGACTCTCCTGCTTTGTGGGCAGCAGGCTGGTCTCAGGCAGAGGGCAGGGTGGGTCTGTCAGTTTCAAATTTAAAGATGTACCCCACCATCTCAGCCACAGCCGTGCTCCCCTACTGCTGTGCCGCTCCATGTGTGGCCCAGGTCCTGGCAGCCCAGAACCACCCGGGCGCTGGATGGAAACAGACTGTGGAGACCCACCCCTAGACCTA